TTCAGGATCGCCTTCATGATGCAGAGACACAACTCTCCAATTGAAGTCCCGAAAACGTGATGAATTGAAGGTATCAAATTTGCTTTTTTTGTATTGTCATCTCAAATGACCTCACAGCCTTTTATCCAAGCTGGTGTTCTTCTGTATTTAATAATTAATAGTTTCTCAAAAGGCTTTCTCTTTCTCATGTCAGGTTATTTGATGCTTCAGAAGTTGGGTTTAGCTTTTAATTTTTAACATATATTTGTTTTTATTATGTTATGGGCTCATTTTTAGTCTGCATGTCATTTGAGTTGACATCTTGTTATGAATTGTGATTTTGGATTGTGCAATAGGGATTTCGTCTATGGAAGCTGCATGTTTAAATGATTTTCATGCCAAAGTCTTGCGAGTATTCATTCATTTTGAACTCACAGAAAATATTAGGAGGCGTAATTATTTGATGATGTTTGGATTGACCATTGTTTATGATAATTTCTTTGTTTGATGTTTTTGTCTTTGCTTTTCTACCAAGACATACCCTTTTCTAACTGCAATGGATGAATGTGACAGAAATTGGTGAAAGAGAAAAATGCTCTTGCTGAAAGGTTGAAGAACGCTGAAGGTGCACGTAAAAGATTTGATGAAGAACTTAAACGGTATGCCACAGAGAATGTAACCCGAGAGGAAATTCGACAGTCTCTCGAAGATGAAGTACGGCGATTGACACAAACAGTGGGGCAAACAGAAGGAGAGAAACGGGAGAAAGAAGAGCAGGTTGCTCGGTATGAGGCGTATATTTATGAGATGGAATCAAAATTGCAGGCCTGCCAGGTTTTTGCCTCAAAATAGCCAATGCTTTCTGTTTCCTTTCTTTTACTTTTTCATGATCACCGTAATATTCCCTTCTCCTAATTATTTGTAGATCACCAGAAGCAGCTAGCTTCGGTGCTTATTAAGTTTCATATTTGGTTTATCTTCTGTTCGGGATAATACCAGACTTGTTTGATTAATGCGTCTCCTTATCTCATGCAGCAAGATATTCACACCCTCTATGCTTCACTTAAGGAAGAAATGTCCCGACATGCTCCTTTGTATGGGGCGGGTTTGGAAGCTCTATCAATGAAGGAGTTGGAAACACTTTCAGGCATCCATGAAGAAGGCCTCAGGCAGATCCATACCCTTCAGCAGCAGCAGCGTAAAGGCAGTCCATCCAGCAGTCCTCTTGTGAGCCCTCACGCCCTCCAACACAATCATGGCTTGTATCCTTCGACGCCACCCCAGATGGCCGTTGGAATGCCTCCTTCGCTCATCCCAAATGGTGTCGGAATCCACAGCAATGGGCATGTGAATGGTAATGTTGGACCCTGGTTCAACCATTCGTAGATGCCTGGGTTCTAGACTCGTAGCTCTCTTTTGTGCCAATGTTGGCATTGGTTGGCCCAGTGGGATCGGGTGAAACTGCTATTTTTGGAGTCGGTTTTATGACATTTAGGCTGTTTGAACTGTTGGAACCGAGTTGAAAAGAGAAAGAAAAAGGGAAAAAAAAAAGAAGGAATAAGATGATAAAGGTTAGGTTTAGGGTTTAAGTAAGTAAAAGTGAGGAAGAGAATCCAATACAGTTGCAAATGCCAATACTCCCTCATTTACCCCCATTTTGCTCCCTTTGAAGTCAATTATAGGCTTTTTATTTACCTTAAATTTTTTGATATTCCGGTGTTCAATTTATTTTCCCAAGCTCTTTCTCTCTCTCTCTCTCTCTCTCTCTCTCTCTCTCTCTCTGTATGGATGTGGTGCAGTTCTGTTTAGGCAAATCAACTGGTTTGTCGATCTCTTTGCAAGCGTTTTTGCTAGAATAGTGACAAACACATTTACTGATTACGTTGTTGATCACTTTCTGATACATTTACTAATTACATTGGCGATCATTTTCTAATGCATGTGGATTTATACGTTGTTGATCTCTTCCTATGTTCTCCCTTCCTACCTCTTATTTTCATTTCTTCCCTTTCACCTCTTCCTTGTTTATTTTTTCCTCTTAGGTTCCCTTTTTCATTTTTTTGGGTAAACATTCCTCTTATTAGTTTCTTTCTCTTTTCGGAGTTGAACAAAACTGATGGAACTTGAAGTTAAATCCTTTGTGAGGATCTTAGGGATCAATTCATCTTAGCCATTTATCGTACATCATGCAGTCAGTTTTCATTAGATATTGTTTGTGTTTCAATTTTAAATAAAAAAATTCAAACTAATTTCTGACCGCAAGATAACCGATTACCGAATAGGATGAACTGATCCAAATATTATTACTCTTCCAGAAATTGTCAAAAGTGTTTCAATGCTTCTGAAGTAATTTCTTTTATGATCTAGAAGCGCTTTTAGGCTATTTTCGAATGAAGTCACTCAACAAGTCTCTTTCTCTCTCTCATATATTGTAGTTTATTCGTAACTAATTTATATCTTAAATTCTTTGAGACTTAGTATTCCATCTAAACGTCAGTAATCAGCGGCTATGGTTTCGAATTGCATTATTTTGACTAAATTGCTAGCGTACTGTGAGGGTTAGGAAACAGGTTTGAAAGATAGACAAATAGTAAGACAAGTTTGCCACAATGATCAAAAGGTAGATAAATTAGGTTACCTTAATTGGAAAATTAGGTTACCTTAATTGCAAAATTTGGTTAATTACAGCTGTTTAATTACTCGTTTTGAAGTGTTTTTAAAATGACTGAACGTATTTGGTGAAAATATTTTTAGAACCCATTCTTAGTAAAAATGGAAGTGAATCCTGAAAAAAAAAAAAAAAAAAAAACACTTTGCTTCTGGAAGCAAAACATAACGGTGCTTCTTCTAAGAATCACTTTAAGTACTTTTGAAACTCAAAAATATTTTTTTTAAAAGCTTTTTCAATCATTTTAAAAGTACTATACCAAACGAGCCCAACTTTGGTTAAAAGTGCTTTAGTTATAGGGGTTATTAACTATATAATTAGTAATTACGGCACAAATGCAAATATTCTTCACCACATTTTACAACTATCTACAATTCTACATTTTCTGCAAATTTGATTTATGGATATCATATTCGCAAATGTATAGTATTATGTTTAAACCATAGGCCTTAGGGTTGATGCTAGATGAAAAGAAATACATATTAACAAACGACGGATAATAGTTGGGATAATAGATGGCAAATGTGATATTATCCGAAAAAGAGGTAGCTTGGAGTTTATCAAAAACGGAAATGAGAGATTCTTGCCACATAATTTGGTTACGTGTGTCAACTATATTTGCGCCGACTGCATGTAAACATCATATATTCAAAGACTTATAAATAACTGTCAAATTACGTGTTACATCTAGTTGAGATAAATCATTAGCGCATGTATAACTAGTATTATCCAGGAATAAGCTAGTTTAAAGTTTATCAATAACTAGCTTATTCCTGGATAATACTAGTTATACATGCGCTAATGATTTATCAAAAGACAAAAATGAGTTATTTTTGCAACATGATTTTTTTGACGTGAGTCAGTTGTTTGAGGGTTCCCATGTGCAAAAAGGGATCGAAGACCGTAGGAAACTACGTCGAAATTAACTAAGTCTATATGCATGAACTTGGAAGAAGAAATAAGGAAAACAAAGATAACTTGATAAATCTCATTTGACTTCGCAACGTGTCGGCCAAGCGATATGCCAACAACAGCCCTAATTTGTTCGAACCCGCAAACCCTAGCTATTGAAAGTTGGTTTTTTGGATTGGCGGGGCCGTGGGGCCACACTTTAACAAGACCGATATTGTTTCCAACTTTATTATCTGCCTAATCCGTTATGTGGGGTTTTATCACAAAAAGTTTTGATATTAGTTAGAGTGGAGCAATCATATTTAAACCCATTATTTTCTTTTGCACCCATCGATCTGGGATTCCAACATTGAACACACCATTGTAAACCCTAGCGAGCGCACCACCATTGAAATGACCGGGACATGCAGACCGCCGGGTCTGTTATCGGAGACCTCGCACTGGCGGATCTCCAGTGCAACATAGTAAAAGGCCATGCCTGGAGCCACAATGCCCGCCTGGCATGTGTTGCTCAAGTCTCTGATCAATCAACTGACACCACAATCGATGGCCCCCACCACCTTGCCACCACTGAAGTCCACTTCATCGCCGTCCTCCGTGCCACCACTGCCCTCAGCCCGTTCGGAAAAGAACCCAAATTTCAACAAGAAGTGAAGACCTCTGGGCTTATGGGAGGAGGAGATAATAATTACAATATTCATCAAGGCACCATGCGTACTAATGTGGAGCGCAGGTTGCACCAGCTCCTGCTTTCTGTGAGGGACTTTAATGGACCTTACTTTGGGGCCGGCAAGCTGGCAAAGGACACTGTTGGGGTTAGATAATGTGAGGAGGAGAGTAGGAAGACAGTGGTTTGGACTGAGAGTTGTAAGGAAAAAGGGTATTCAATCGTGACTATAGAGTGCAAGGATTGGCCCGAGGCTCATGTTTGATACTGTGTGCACTTTCACTGACATCCAGTATATGTAAGTTTCCATGCTTCTGCTAGTGCCCAAGAAGGTTATGCCTTTCAGTAAATGCATACCAGCACTATTCTTGAATGACAAGCAAGTGCTGCTATTTGTACCACATTTACTAACCGTCTTTACCGACAACTGGTTTGCTAAAAGTGGTTGAGACTGACTTCAACTAGAAAAGTAATCCGCAATATTGTGGTTGATAAATGTAGTTCCATAGTTTCGTATGCCCTGTGCACTTGAATTCTGTCTTTTATTTGTAAACTTATCACGTTGTAATTGTTAATGGAGACTAATTAACTAAGGAATGTTGTTTCCATATATCCAAGTATTTTATTCGACACATCGACGGGGATGCATTGTGTACTGAGAGTGAGAAGGAAAGAGTAATAAAATGCTTAGAGGCTGATATATAGAGCGTCGGGTTTGTGAGGTGAGTACGAAGCTCAATTTTACGAGATCAGATGAGATGTACGATGTGATAGTAGCTAGTAATACTGATTAAAAGTTGCACTCATTTCTGTATGTATAAATTAACTACAAACAAAAGAAGATAATTATCTAGGCAATTCTAAGGTTAATTCTCCTAAGCCAAATGGAGTGCAGTATCATATGAAATACATCAAACCTCTTAGCCGGTTGGTTCAACTCAAAATGTTTCCTCACAACCCTCAAATTCTCCACCAGCCTCCTATACTTCTCCTCCGGAACACCCATCAGCACCTCCTTCAGCCGCGAAATCTCCGAAACCTCAACCTTAACCGAAAACGCCTCCCACCTCAGCACGTCGCTAAACGGAAGCGCATAGTGCTCCGATAGAATCACCGGCACGCACTCGGCATAAATGGCCTCAACAATTCTAGGGCTGGCCACTTCATACCCGCTAGGGCACAGGCAAAACTTGGACTTGAGCACCATAGAGTCGTAGTCTAGGCCTTTGGGGAGGTATTCATGAATTTGAAGGTCTTTGTCGCGGTTTTTCCAGTGAGCCAGGAGGATGGGCCTTATCGGGCCGTGCAGGCCGCCGGCGAAGAAGGCAAGGTAGGGACGCAGGGTGTTGGGCGGTGGCGGTGAGATGAGCTTGGAGGAGACTGTGCCGCCGTAGAGGTGGATTTCAGGGAGGGAAACGTCCTTTTGAGGGTTGAAGCCTTCGGAGGTGTTGGCGTTGCAGAGGACTCGGATTGATGTGTTGAAGAGAAGTGGGTTTCCTTCTGACGCACGGGGTGCCTGAGAATATTTAGTGGGAAAATTTTCATTTAATCTCTTGTAAAATAAAAAGCAATTCACTTTATCATGAAAACTAGCAAATACTTTATGCCTCCCTTCCCCCTCCAAGTTTTTTTATCTTTGGTTTGATTTCATTTTTTATCTTGACCCAATTAATAAAATGTTTCAGTTTTTATTTGTTACATAACTTTGCATATCAATCATCAAAATCAAAATGGAAAAAACTATGACTCTAAGATAAGAGATAGACTTATATGAAGCCATTTCACCAGCAACATGATGTTTTGGTCCAATAATGCATTACTATGTGTAAGTTTCACTCCACATAAAAAGTCATTATTAGACCAAGACACCACAGTTGTCTGTGAACCCGTTATATGTAAATTGTCCTCCTAAGGTAGTCCTCATGCACTTTGTCTTCTCATTGGCGCAATTTCTAATAATGATAAGGACTATTTTAGATATCAATTGACAATTTTTAATTGAGTAATGTTAGAGATACTATCATTTTAAACCACACTTTGTAAACCACAAGATGTGATTGTTGATGGTTGGTCAACTTTTTAAAAATTCTTTAAATCATTAAAATTGAAATACACCCATCAACAGCCACTTTATATGCTTTACAAAATATAAATTAAAAAGATGCTTTCCTAGCATCACCCTTATTATCAACTAGAAAATTTACCAACAATTCTTTTTTTATAAAAGCAATATTGAGAAAAAAATTAAACAATGGCGTTGAATCTATAAATATAATATTCTTCACTACGTAATTACTAATTATGGTCTTTCTCAAAAAAATTATTTATGATAATATGAGAGCGGTATACTGATTTCTTTTTTCTTAGTTTCAAACAATTTTGGTTAATTTATTTTCAGTAAGTTTAAAGATAATATGGAAGGGCCCATGCCAAATAGGACCTTTTTTGCTTCTTTTTCTCCTTTGTGTGATGATATCTATATTGCTCAAATTTAGAAACTTCCTTAAGGTCCCAAGACTTTTCAGCCCCATTGCAGACACTACTAATTAGATGACCATTCCACTTTTATACTTCCCCATGCCTCAAGTTGCAGCCACAGAAACTTCAAACCAAAACGTCATTTACATCCTTCCTACCCCATAACTATATATCCAAGCATGCCAAGAAAGTTCTCATCGCCAAAGCATATCACAGAAGCAAAACAAATCAATTAAAGGCATGAGAGAGAGAGAGAGAGAGAGAGAGAGAGAGAGAGAGAGAGAGAGAGAGAGAGAGAGAGACTAACCCAATCATGACAGGCGAGCATGAAGTGGTCCGCCCCAAGAGTCCTATTCCAAAAGGGGTGCCTCACTGAAACCATCCTTACATAATCGGACACAAAGTTCCTCAGAGGGGTGAGGTCGTAGGTTAAGGGCTTGTATAGGTATTTCACCATCCAAGTCACGCTAAAGGGCATGAAGTAAACATGCGCCCTCTGCGGGTTCTCGGTCTTGAACCTCCTGCCCGCTGCCCCATTCTCCATTTCGTGTATGAACCGCCCTTCGATGGAATATATGTCCTTGCATGGGCCGTCGTGGGTCATCGGTGGGTCCCCCTCCGAGTACACGTACACTTTGAATTTTTTCTCCATTTCAGTGTAGCTCCTGCAGTCCAAATGCATGCGTTGAAATACAAAAAACTTTGAAGGGTAGATGCGTCAATTCACATTCTTCCATGATTCCATGAATGCACATGATGTGAAGGTAGCTTAAGCTATTAACTTCCGTAATTTAAATTGGGTACTTAATTAAACCATAGTTTAGAAGTCATAATGCTACATGTATTGCGGAATCATTGACGGCACATGTAACATCAAAATTATTTAAATCCTACTCCTAATTATGAATCATGGCATAATCATAAATGCTTTTATCGATTACACAAATTATAACTTATAGATGTTAATAATTTTTACGAGTAAATTAATGTTAGAGACACGAACTTTTTAGATCAACTTTCAAGATACTAAGTTACTAACTCATGTGAACGTGTACATCACGCTTTAGACTATATTTATTCACATAATATACTAAATTCCGCAACACTTTGTAACCAAAATTGAATAAGTTGATTTCTCTAATAGTACACTAACTTGTACTAAAAAATAGTACACCAACTATAAATTACATATATGAAGATAAAGTCAACCAAATTTGATTGGATGGAAGAGTTAAATTTCTCCAAGTGAATTAGCAAAGAGACTAGGGAGACTAAGTTTGTAAATAAAGTTTTGAAAACTAAATGATATAGAAATTGATGATTGATTTATTACTCAAACATTGATAAACGTACTTATTTCTATTGGTGACACATCATTTGGTTTTCAAATTTAGTTTTACTAACATTACCCATTAGCAAATGAATAAATTTTAAAGGAGGGCCCGCATGTATACTCGCCTCGTCCTGGAGAAATTTTTCTAGGTTCCGAGAACACTAGGTGAGCTGGTGTTCCCCACAAATAAAGGATTAACACCTGGTCATAACTAATCATCATCCAACACCTGGCAAAAAATTACCTTAGTTAATACGTTTCGGCTTCGCAGAACAAATAAAGGATTAACAAGTGTTAATCCTTTATTTGTGGGGAACACGGAACCCAGACAAATTTCTGTCCGGTTCATGACTCCCCTCTTTTTCAGCAGCAATCGAGTATAAGGGGGGGGAGTGAGTATGTGACGATGCAGAACACAAATGAGTGCGCACTCCACACCCCTATGCCGCACCCTATAGCTACCCAAACGGTGCCTTTCAAGCAAAGCATGCAGTTTAACAGCTTTATATTTAATTAATACGACGATCAATTTTCCAGAGATGTTCAGTTTTTTCTTTTTATTTTAATTACTAATTTGATCGGAAAAGGAAATTATGAAACGAATTAAGAAGGCGGCTTAGGCTAGCTTACTGATAAAACGCGCCGGGATTACGATACACGACTGATCCACCGGGAAATAGTACGTCGTCGTTTGGTGTTGACGAACTGTTCGGACTCGAAGCTGCTCTGCGAATTGAAGCTCGCGCTCGGGCGAGTCCCTGCTCCAGCTTTTGCGCTCCGCTCGCTTTCCGTTTGGGGATTTTGTGTCTCTGTGATCGATCGTTTCAGAAAGTAACAAAAAATTAAATTAAATTACCGATTTCAAAGTTTCAGAAATAACAGTTTTAATGTCAGAAGCAGAAAAATGAGCTAGCTAAAAACTGCAGAAAATTAAAATGCAAAAGTTAGGAGAAAAATCTGATTCAATGGCGGTTCAAATTCTTGACTGGACGATAAATTGACGAAACTTACTAGTGACGTCTGATTTACGAAGTCGTTGCTGTGAAATCGTTGAATAGTACTGGATGGATCATCCGAGATGGCGAGGCGATGATACGCTCCCTTGAGCTTGCTTCGGAGCTGAACCACCGGAATCCATACAGGACTGTACCGATCTTGTTTGGAGTCGGATATTATCACCGGAGAATCGAAATGGTGGCCGCAGATCACCACGACGGTGATGATCGACGAAATGCAGAAACAAAGCAGTACGGACGCAGAGGAGTACTTCGCATGGAAGCTCCCCATCTCAATTTCTCTCTCTACAGGAATTGAATGGACTGTTTGGTTGCCAAGATTTTTTTTTTCCGGGAAAATATTGATATTTTCTCGCGCTTTCTTTCTCTCTTTCTGTTTGTGGCTCTTTGAATATTTGAAGGAGAGGAAGTGAAAGAACGTGAAGTGTACGAGCGTGGAATTTTACGGATTTAGCCCTCGACGGTAAAGAGAGAGAAGCCGATCATGTGCTGGCGGGTTGACCGTGCACTTGACTAGAAGTCTACAAGTTATGGATGGTTCGAGCGCTTCACAACTAATTTTTCCCTCCAAATTTCCAACTTTGTGCAGTTAATGATTTTGCTTCTACTTTCCTTCCCAAATCAGCAAGTGTGAGAAAAGACCGTTGATGGATTGAGCCTACATTGTGGGACCCACTAGATCAATGGTTCCCTCTGAGAAAAGGATGGAGAACAACGTATATAAAACGGTTTTACTATCACATGATATTATTTTGTGGTGCAATAATATGTTGTCACGTGTCAATTTTTCTCTAAATAACAACAGTGATGATGATCGATGAACCTGTTTTATCTAAATTGCTCTGCTAGTGTAAGTATAATTTAGTCTAGTGAGATTTTGTAATTAGTACTTTCTTATATGGTAACTTGTTTTTCATTTGTTAATTCACTTAACATATTTACACATAGAATACTATAAGATGTAAACAATGCCAAATATTTAGTTAGAAAATAAAAGTTGGGGTCATGCAGCTAGGCTTTGGCATGAATCATGCAAGTTTGCACGTTTTACTTAATTAAAATTCAAATCGTTTGTTTTCTATTCAAGCCATCTAAATTCTTTGGAATTTAAGGTTAGTTTGAAGTCTTCTAGTTGTTGTATATAAAATTATAAATAAGGTTTTTAGAGATCTTTCTGGGGATGCTGCCGCATACCGCGCTTGCATGCACGAGTGATATTAGTCGGCAAAACTAGCAGCGCATTAGAAGGAAACAAATCATATCTTGCTTCATTGTTTTTGTTGCCCATGAGCCGCATGCATTGGATAAGGGTTTTGGTTGTTTTTTCTGCATCAAACATCATTTGAGAGCAAACGTTTTTAGCAGCCCTGAGTGAAGAGAGAGCCTTTTTTTTTTCCCAGAAAAATCAGTTTGTTATTCTTGTGTTTCATTGAGAAATTTTTATTTTTTTTATTTACTGATTTTTCATTCACTTTCATTTGAAATCAATTAAAATGTATCTTGTGATTTTCGTAATTGGTTGATTTCAAATATTATTTCATCATACATACATTATGTATGATCGTGTTAGTATCTTGCCAAGTTCGGGAAGAAGGTGATTGACAATCACGTTATTGTCACGTCACTTCCACTCAAGACTGAAGAGAGATTGAGCGTCAAAGCGTGCACAATAATGCCTACTAGTATGTATGTCTAGTTGACGAGTTTTGTAAATCTTTTTTGTATTTGATTCTCTTAGTGTTTTTCCTGAATTGGAAGCTCGATAATTTTCTCAGTTGTGGACTTTGCCTAGTCGTTAAATCTTACATCCGTTGTGCATAGTTTATTTATCTATTTAAGTGCATTAATCGAGTTTAATTTCAAAATTGAATTTGGATTTACATTGAATTTTTTAAGTTGGAACCTATTTCCCCTCCCTCTCAGTCAACCTATTACCTTCCTAGAACTTTCATTTTATAACAGTGAAAAGGGAAAAAATACGGTCAACAAAAAACCAAATAAAATTTCAAAAAATTAGAGATTGCAGAGTGGAAGGAGGGAGGGGATTGTGTGTGAAAGGGAGGAGAAAGGAGATGGAGTGGAGAACGGAGCGTGAAAGAATAAGTATGGTATAAAAATCATGGCATAATCCGGAGCGATTTTGGTGGGGAGCGATCAGCCTAACAGGGTCTAAAATTTAGGGGCTTTTAGATATAGGTCCAAAACCATAAATGACTTTTAAGAATGAGTCAAGTTATCTAATTACATGTTTTTATTTCTTTTAGGCTTATTATATTAACATCCCAAATTGTTGACTAAACCCTACATAGTTAATACACCTCACATTTGCTTTTTCACTTAAAAATTATCTGAATATACCCCCACATACTTTCCCATAATACCCCCACATCCCACATTCTCAATATACACCTTATATTTTGAAATCATCTTAGTATAGTTTGCATCAATAGAAGTCTACCTTTGTTAAGTAGGGTAACATCAGCAATGGCTTCATTGTGTATTATTGATCGATTTGTCATTGTTCTCTTAGGTTGAGCTGCTTAGAGGTCAGAAAGCAGATAAAGTGGAGGTCACTATACAACCTGAAGAATTGGATGATATAGAGACCGTTTTGCCTGCAAAGTAAGTCCGAGACATGAAAAAAATTGAATTTTACTTTAACAATGTACCTTAGCAGCAGCAGATAGCTTATAACTAGTGTGTCGCATTTAACAGGTACGAAGAAGCAAGGGAGGAGGAGAAGATGCGAAGTCAGAAGGAAGATTTCAGTGACATGGTCGCAGAGAACGAGAAGAAGAGGAAACGTAAGCAAGACAAGGAAGGGAAAAACAAGAAGAGGGACTTCAAGTTTTAGGCTCTATCTCTATTGTTATTACCAATTTATTGCTGGATGGGAAGCCAACCACCCTCCTGACATTGAGATTTTGGTGCCGGTGTTTTTCCGAGAAATATCATATGTTTGCTCTGCTTGTACCGCTTTGATACATACTTAGTGATCTATGTCGTAATACAAATACTCACTTTTTGTCATGTTAATTTGTAATCCTTCAGAGTAAATCAATTGCAACATAAATCTAGGAAGAACTCCTAAAAAGTTCCCCACAAAACTTGTTTTATCGAAAAACATTTTAGACAACTTTTTTTCAATCAACATAAAAAATATGAAGTCTTACCTCATGTGAAGCTTCCGAAACATTTCATGTTCCATTCGTCAAAATTTTTTTTTCTCAATCAACATGTTTGTAATTTTGTTCAACAATAGAGGGTGGGAGAGTTTTGATAGTTGAGAAGATAAATAATACGCTAAAAGTGATTTGTGATGTACTTAGAATTTTTTCTTAACCTAATAAAGTCAAAATTGTAATTGCATAGTGGGGTAAATAAGTCATTTAATATTAAATTTTAATATGGGGTGCATTCAATATTTTGTAGGGTGCTAATATAAAAAGCCGAGTTATACTCATTTTATATTTTTTTTAAATATTAAAAATCAATTAAAATCTTTTAATATTATGCATTTTTCAACTCCAAAAAATCTAATTAATATCTTACAAAAAAAAAAAAAAACTAATATACTAACATAAATTATCTACAACATTCTACCTTAACTCAAGCAACAAATATATGAATATATATTATACATGTAAGCGAGATATGAAACCTAACTAAAAGGTAGGGAAAAACATAATATACCTACAAGCAAGACACATTAATTTGTGACACGTTGATTATAAAAAAGAATCTATTATATAGATAGATAAAAATAATTAACATATGATATAGGGTGATTATAAAAATTAAAAATAAAATCTATAAATGAGATTTAAAGCAAGAGGAAGAACAAAAAATAAAAATAAAAAGAAATCAAAGAGATAATTATGAAGAAATTTGATTTTTATAATAAATATTATCATTGAATAGATAATTATTGATAATTAAATAATTAAATTTAAGGAATTGGACTTATTTTAATAAATTTGACTATTGATACAATTGGCTAAAAAAAGGGGACTTATATCAAGTTTTCCCTAAAATATTTTAAGGGGTCTCTAAACAAATTTTGTTATCTAAAATATATATAGCAACATTGTATTTGAATATGATCGGAAAAAAATTACATAGTTGAACACGAAAAAAAAAACTTATGTGGGATCTACTGTAAGATCTCACATCGTCTAGGGGTGAGGATCATGTAAGCCTTATATGTATATTCTTATCTCTACCTAGCACGAGGCCTTTTGGGAGCTCACTGGCTTCGGGTTTCATCGGAACTCCGAAGTTAAACGAGTTCGTGCGAGAGCAATATCATGATGGGTGACCCACTGAGAAATTCTCGTGTGAGGTCCCAGAAACAAAACCGTGAGGACGTGGTCGGGGCTCAAAGCGGACAATATCGTGCTACGGCGGAGTCGAGCCTGGGATGTGGTGGGGGCCCGGGCCGGGATGTGACAATTTGGTATCAGAGCCACTCTGCCGTTCGGTGTGAGTTGGGCCACTCTGCCGTTTGGTGTGAGTGTGCCGACGAGGACGTCGGGCCCCTAAGGGGGTGAATCCTAAGCTGGGATGTGACAATTTGGTATCAGAGTCACTTTGTCGTTCGGTGCGAGTGTGCCGACAAAGACGTCGAACGCCTAAGGGGGGTGGATTCTGGGCCAGGATGTGACAATTTGATATCAGAGCCACTTTGCCATTTGGTGTGAGTGTGTTGATGAGGACGTCGGGCCCCTAAGGGGGGTGGATTGTAAGATCCCATATCGCACATGAGTGAGGATCCTGTAAGCCTTATATGTATATTCTCATCTCTACCTAGCACGAGGTTTTTTGGGAGCTCACTGGCTTCGTGTTCCATCGGAACTCTGAAGTTAAGCGAGTTCGCGCGAGAGCAATCCCATGATAGGTGACCCATTAGGAAGTTCTCGTGTGAGTTCCCAGAAACAAAACCGTGAGGACGTGGTCAGGGCCCAAAGCGGACAATATCGTGCTACTGCGGAATCGAGCCCGGGATGTGGTGGGGGCCCAAACCGGGATGTGACATCTACAACTACAATTTAATTTATGATTTTGCAGCAAAGAATGCATGAAGAACCATTTTAAGTGAAACTTCAATATTGTACCTTTTTAAGGTTTTATTCATTTGATTTTTTAAGATTGAACTAATTGTTGATCATTTAGCAATGGTACTTATTTTTGTAGCTTTCTTATGTATATAATAATATTTGAAACTAATAATTAGCGTGAGTTTTAAAGTTTGTTTTAGTTATTGATTTCTAGCATCAATATATTGTTAAAATATTTTGAAAGACAATCTTAAGAAGGCCCCATTTATATATTTCACACAAAGCCCCAAAATCTCAAAGAGAGTCTAAACATAATAATATGGTAATATTAGCATTACCCCACAATATATGACAAAACCCTGATCATCCATGCATCAGAAAATAAAACTCTCCTTATCCACGAAAAAATTAAACAAGAAGAAATAGAATAAAAATTACATTTGTATGGGCTATCAAGAGGACAAATCGAAGCATTTTATAGCGTTGAAATTACCACGACCAACAGATGTTTCCATTGAAGAAGATCATGTCATCAAAGGAACCATCAACGTGCAGTCCAAATTTGTAGTGTAGGGTCTCTCACCAAGGAAGAACTTAAATAATTTGGCCTGAATAGCAAGCTGCAAGTGAATACTAAACACGCCGGCAGCAGTCTCGGATTTAAACTTGGAAAGCCGATCACGTTCCCCGAACCCCACCAAATATTGCTGCCCCCGAATGACTGTATTCTGTAAGATGGTGGTGTTCTTGTGGCCCTGATGAAACGGTACTATCGAGCTGCTCAAAGTCGAAACAGAAAATGTCGTCTCTTGGTCAAGGGCGGAGCTAGGATTTTTTTTCTTAGGTGGACTAGCTGAAAATAGTAATATAAAATCATAATATTTATTTTTTGCATAAAATTATATAATAATCATTATAAAAAAACAACAATATAATATAAACTATTCTTAAAATCATAACCCTAACCGATAAATTCAAGGACTATATAAATAATTAACCTACTAATTAAATGAAGAATAAGTCAATAAAGTCATTAAGAACATACCAAATGTAACATTCATTGGAAAATCGCAATAGAAAGTAAGGAATTGTGGAGATAGAGATTTAATTGTGGATTTAAAAAAAAAAATTATTTTCTTGAGTAAGAAGCATAAAAGCTAAATTACGTAGAGTAAATGATCTTTTTCTTTAGAGAATAGGATAAAGGGAGACTCGAGATGGAACTAATTTATAATTTTTAGCATAAAACGTATTATTTACTACCTATCCTCTAAATATACATTAAATAATAATACGTATTAAAATTGAGTAGGCTATAAGCATAAGTTTACAAAAGAATAATTCTATTCACAAACCCATTTTTACCTCCAACATAGCTTTATTAATTTTTTGTCGAACAACAGAAAATTGAGAGGGGTGTGTGAGTATTAAAAATGAGTGCATGGATAGTACTACTCTTACAAAAAACCTCCCTGGACCACAACCCACCTTAGCCTTGTTGGTGGCTACGCCATTGCTCTTGGTACTGTGCAGTTACTTGGATGCCAAGGTAGTCTACGGTAGCCCGTTTGTCAGGGTTTATGATTATGATGCCGAGGTTAAGGTTGTAGTACAGTGTTGTGGGTGGCAGTTGTGTAGTTGAACTCGGTCAGAGAGGCATCCGTGACGCTAAATTTGGGATCTTCCACCGAAGCTAAAAATTCAAGGGGTATGGTCAAGATTAAAAAACATATGAAGACGGCGAAGAATGAGATGAGTAGCTATTCTATTAGTGTGGGTCGTTTCTCCGGTGCATAGTTTCCAGAGGACATAGTATGTATATGGCTGAAGGCTGACGAAAAGGCAAGAAACTTTGTAGTATAACGTTTCAGATTAGAGAACTCTGATTTATTGATACAAAGGACGAGCAAAAGGGTTGCTTTTATTCAACCTACTTGATGAATGGTTCGATTTTATAGTGTAGGAAAGAGTACGGGATTCCTCTTTGTTTAGGGACAACCTAATTGAATAGGATTCCTCATTGTTTACAGATAGCTTGATAATAGGATTTGGTCCTGGGTTTTCCGTTTGGGCCATATTTCATGCAAGTTTTTTTTTTTGTTTTTTTTGTTTTTGTTTTTGGTGCCCTTTATTCATTACAAATTAAGTCATTGAATTTCTAGAGTATTAAGTTTTTTTTCTAAAGTCTAACCTTATGATGAAGGGCTTACGTGGGAAAAAAAAAACCTCATTTATTCAATCCTTCCATAATTTTTTTTTTTTTAATTTGGCCACAAAGTCCGTCCCACTCCAGCATTGCTACCATGGGAAGAGACTTTGAGGAGAATTTATTGATAAACAAGAAAAATACAATATGTCAGGGGAGACATGAGACCAAACCCAAACCATTAAAGAATTCATAACAACAATTCAAAACCTCTTTTAACAAAACCTATAACAAGGAAGCTTAGAAAGGTTGTGAGAATAAGTAGCTGCAGCACAATGTGGGCATGAATCCCACCAATGGACACCGGGTTGATCAACACCATAATTGGCCAAACAATCAACAACTTGATTACCCTCTCTAAAAATATGAGAAATATGAACATGCATGGAGTTCACCGACAAATTTCAAGTCAAATATATAATTTTATAACTTTTAACTTCGACGAGATTAAACTTATATCTAGGTCACACTTTACCTACAAAATATGAGAGCCCATAATATGAGAGCCCATAGTGAAATATAATCATCGAAAGTATAGTAATCAATTGAAGGTACATGACCTAAAACGTACAACTGCACATACCGTGTTGCAATAACTTTTCAATTTTTTCCACGTTGCTAATTAAATAACTAATATTCTCTAAAAAAAATTAAATAACTAATACAGCGCAGTTGTTTGTGAGATAGTAAAAATTTTATTTACTCAAAAACACAATTGTACAAATTCTAGCATAATTGTACAAAACCCCAACTTAATTGGCATCACTTCACCAGCCTCAGATTAAGCCTCCGGAGCCACACTGAATGCATCACCATATGCAACATATCAAATGGCTTAGCAGGTCTATTGATCACAAAATGGCGCTGCACTTGCATGACCCTCTTTTGCTTTCTCACATATTCATGCTCAGAAACTGATTGCAAAATTGCCTTCAGTTCTGGTATCCTTGCCACCGGAACATGAACCGAAAACTTAGACCAATCAAGCACATCACTGAACGGCAACGCATAGGAATCAGAAATGATCACTGGGACACAGCCTGCATATATGGCCTCAACCACTCTAGGGCTTGCAACTTCATACCCGCTAGGGCACATGCAAAACTTGGTCTGCGCCATTAGATGTGTGTAGTTTGAGGTTTTGGGGAGGTAGTCATGGACTTGGATTTCCTTGTCTTTGTTTTTCCAGTGCTTGAATAGTACCCTTCTTACGTCTCCATGATCACCACCGGCAAAGAAAGCAAAGATTGAACGGTTCTTAGGGGGATGGGTAAGGAGGGGAGAACCTAACTTTCCAAACGGGATTTTGATTTCGGGGAGGGGGACATCTCGGACTGGTTGGAAACCTTCTGAACAATTCGCATTGCAGAGTACTCTAATTAAGTTCTTCAAAATTTTAGGGTGTCCAGCCGAAATATCAGGTGCCTGAAAATGCAATCGAATTATGAGTATCGTTAACTAACAAAGTCTTCAAATTCAAATGTGTTAGTATTCACGTTTGAGTGATATTACATTTACCAAATTTACTGATCATTAATCACAGCGGTACATGTACAAGAATCATGTGAAACTCACGTACATAATTGAGTTTTTCCTTTTGGGTAGATGCAATCATCAGTAAATATGGTACAAATAGTTTTATTGATTAGGGTTAAGAGATATGAGATGAAATCTGAATCACAATTAAAGTTTTGGTGGTATCACTATTAAATCAAAATGAAAAGGTGGAAAGAAAGAGTGGCATACCCAATCATGACAAGAGACCAGAAAATGGTCAGCTCCATTGCTTCTATTCCAGTATGGATATATCTTCGATATGATTCTGATGTAGTCCTCGACAATGTTCTGGAGCCGGACACGAGAGTAGCTGGTGTAAGGCCTGTAGACGTATCTCACAATGTTGACAACACTGATGGGAAGAAAAAACGCGATGGCCTCGTCAGGGTCTTTCGCCACAAATGGGCTATTCCCACTCAACTCAAATTCATCCATGAACTGGCCTTCAATGGAGTAAATGTCGTTCATTGGCCCTTGGTGGAAGAGTGGTGGCTCTCCTTCCTTGTACGACCAAATTCGAAATCTTTTCTCCATCTCTATGTGGCTCCTAACATACACAAAACGATAACGAATCAATTATAGATATTAATTGATGATATATGCTTAAGAGTCTAAGTAAATAATAAACATTACACTATATGTAGCACCTGATATAACTGCAAGAAAAACTATACGCATCAATTCGAAAAAAGCTTCAATATTGCACACACAAACCCTAGGCTTGTCCATATATATGGTGAATAATATCATTTCTAATCCCATTTAACAAAATTGATTACCTTATGGTGTAAGATCACCTTTTGGTGCCTAGGGTTTTTGGCTACGACCAAGATCCTAGATTTTAAACTCATTCTAAGTGAAAAACCGATGTAGTTAGTTTACTGCTTGAATTTCAATAAACTTTTGTAATTGTGAACGTACACGCATGGATTTGAATCAATTGTAGATATTTATAATTTCAATCATTCTACAGTGCGGTGACTTGAAGTGAACAGCACTTGCAGTCAAGTTTATTGGTGACATATCAACAAGTGTTTGGTTTCAAAAATATCAATGACATGCCCATATTTAAAAAAAAAAAATGTGGTTAACCACATTATAGAAAGAAAAAAAAATTATGTTATTTAACTTATGAGTTTAATGTCGCATCCTAGTCCGGGCCCCCACCACATCCTGAACTCGATTCTACTGTAGCACGATATTGTCCGTTTTGGGCCCCGACCACGCCCTCACGGTTTTGTTTCTGGGAACTCACACGAGAACTTCCCAGTGGATCACTCATCATGGGATTGCTCTTATGCGAACTCGCTTAACTTCAGAGTTCCGATGAAACCCGAAGCCAGTGAGCTCCCAAAAAACCTCGTGTTATAGAGATAAGAATATACATATAAGGCTTACAAGATCCACTCCCCTGAATGATATGGAATCTTACATTTAAAAAGTGGTTCGATTATTCTTTGGAATTTCAGAATGTAATGCCAACTATCCTTGAAGAAGGATCGACCTACTACGTAATTAACAATTCGAAAACAAGGCAAATTTAGAAAAGCATTTTGCCACTTTGGTGCCCGTGCCCTAGAATCCATGGAGAGTCTGCAACTGCAAATTATGCATGCTTATGTTTCTGCATGCAATGTCACATGCAGGCATGCACTGCAAAAGACTATTCTTAAAGGCCTAGCAGAATGGGGGACCTCTGTAAATCAGAATCCTATACAGTACACAAGTCGATCAGAACTAGGCCGAAGAATTTAAGGTTGTGACAGATGAAAAATTGCAGCTCATAAGTCCACATCTAAGTACAACATTTGTAAATCCAAAACATTTATTCCTTATACAAAATAGGTCAAGATTTCAGTCTGTGAGAAATTGCGCCAGAACTGTGTAAGCACAAAAGAGGCAAAGCTCATTCAGTTAATGCCTATGGTGCACCACTACATCACCCATGCTACGTTTCTGCACACCCTAACAATGGCACACCTAGGGAAAACCCGAAAAGTGATGACTCTCATCTTACTTTTTTAACCTATTAATTTATAGAACATAAACTCCAAAATTAACCAAGTAACCGGTGCATCTGCAATTTATAAGCCCAGAATGGGTATTTTCAATTTTTATGAATTAAATGGGAACAAGCTTAATGTTTTTGAATTTAGAACAGATGGTTAACGGATCAAAGGAACGGCTAATATGTATAAAACCGAGGGCAAGGCTTATGCATTGCAATTTATAGGCTCAACTGACTGAGTTAGGCATGTGACCAATCGCTTCAGAGGGAACGGTATTACGAGTTGAACTCACCACATAGCAGTGACATAAGGGCATTTTTAGCCAATTGAATTCCTTCGTTTACTATACCTGCCAACATTCAAAGATTCAAGGATACTTTTGGTATTTTGTTATTTCCGCGTTATGTTAGGTTTCCTAGCAAGTAGAGTTGTAATACATTATTATAAAAACATCCTTAACTTCATGGTGCTAGGTTTTTTATTTTATTATCATTCAAACATCAAACTTTGAAATTTTCTCAATTCCTAATGGATTTTCAGATTGCTAGTAGATTCTTACTTAGGGTTTTCGTTCAATTTTCCGTAGTTCCTTGGCTAGTGGAACATTTTAGGGGGGAAAAAAAACAAATGAAGCATTTTTATAGCAACTGATTAGGAGGCTATAATTTTACCCAAAGTGGTTAAACCCAAAGACCAAGTCTAACAAAAGAGAAGGAGAAAATCTTAACTGATGAAAGGAATAAGGGTTGATGTAAACCGATCCTCTTGGAACAAAATTCTCCTTCTTGTATGACGTATAGCTTCTTGATCGAGCAGCTTCTCGTATCGCGTCTCTTGCTCTTGCCATCCCATCTTCTATTTTCTCAAACTGGTTCTTCTTCACTTGCATCTGTATGTAAACACAAAACAAAATTGCAAAACCCACCATTTTCCTTTATTTGTTTCCTTTCATTTTTTGGCCAAGAGACTCAACAAAGACTAAAACCATGTCATATAAACGATCTCACTACATTTTCTAAGTGAAAAACAAAATTATCAATGTATATTGATCTTATATACTTTCCGTAGATCTTTATTTTTTTGTTAGACCAGTGGAATAGAATCACACATATATATATGTTTCAGAAATTCTCTCAATGCATATAAATATCTTGCTGGATAATTGCGGAATAGCAGAATCACACAGCGAACGACCTGCTACTTACATATCGGAAGATTTATCCCGTATTAGAGAAAAACCGACAGACACACACACAAGGAATGTGATCACTGGCTAGCTTTCTGAATATATATATATAGGTTGTCCAACTTACAGTAGGCGCATGATCAAGAGCAGTACTATTTCTGCTGGCATTTTGGAGATCATTGTTGCAGTACCTGCCGGAGACCCGTTTGTGGTTTGAAACTGTGGAGTTGTGAGGAATTGGGAAATAGTGGAAATGGTGGTTCATGAAAGAGAAGAAGATGATGAGAAAAAGAGAAGGGTATAGCAAACAAGTGCTGGTGTAACCAGAGCCAGCCATGGCCAAACAATCTGGCCGTACACACTGCCCGCCCTTAAATAATGTTCTCTTTTGAAAGAAAATGAGAAAAGAGAAGGAAAATTTGAGTTAAGTCATTAGGTTTTGGTAGGACAGCAATGGTGGAATGAGGAGGAGAAGAAAGAAGTGGAAGTTGAGTGAAAGACAGTGAGTCCTATAGGCAATGACTAAAATCTTGGTAATTAGCTTGGTTTCACATGTAGGATAATTAATATGATTTTTTCTACATATTTTTCCTCAACTTGGGATAATTATTAATAGAAGAATGATTCCCTTTTGTTGATATGTTTCTGTATACATTATAATATGAGTGGTTGACGGGATTGATATGTTTAATTTTAGTATATGTATTAAAGTTCGAATATCGTAAATGGCGAGTTCGACATCAATGTATTTCTCATACTTCTTAGTGTCAATATATCGTTATATAAAAAAACAAATACGCATGTTATAATTTAGGTGAAACAATAATATTATGTGACTGGCAAATGACCCTTTACTACAGTGGTAGAAATGAGTTAAGCTCCTGCATGACGGTTTGGATTCAACCCATTGTAAGCTAATCTAACAATTAATCTAACAAAATCTATTGTTTGACAAAAAATATAAAAATTATATGACTGTGTTCTAGATACATCGATTTTTATCTTTGTTGAGATTTTGAACAAGTATTATCTTTTTTAAAGTAATGTCAAAGAATGGAGTGATAGAGCTTTCCCAAAAAAGAAAAGAAAAAAAAATGGAGTGATTGAAATCCAAGATATGACCATGCGAACAGCCAAACCGCGTGGCCATATCTGCAACGAACTCGACAAGATCAATAGGGATTAAGGGAATAAAAGGAAACATAGTTTGCTGGCCCAAGCCTAAAAATAGAGCCTGTACTAGAATAATCAAACGGCTGAATTGCTCTGCACACTAGGCATTCATGATGAGAAAACTCACATGCACTTACAATACCATATTATTTCAAGCCAATTACGTATTTATAAAATCACGTAGCGCAATGCAAGAAATGATTTGAAATACCGTCAAGCCAACATGACATCTCTGTGCAAAGAAACCAATAAGAGATGAATTGTGGGAACATATATTCAAAAGATATGCAGAGACGTCTACACACAAACATTTTAGTAACCAAGGAAATCCAACATCAACATGTTTATATATGCTTAACAAAGCCAGATAACAGCACAACTTCCTCTTATGTTGAACAAAACTAGAAAATTGAATAAGCGGTTCACATTGTAGCAAAGGAAGGTTTGCGCTGAAAACCAGCATCCGAATTGCTAGAGTAAAAATGCCAACGACAATACAAGTACCATCGATAAGAATTTTCGAGGGATGTTTGATTTGCAGTTCAAAAAGGAAAGCTATAGAGAAGATGGAATCGGACACAAGAGTGCATGATTCGGGGTTTTCTACCGCTTAAGAATCCCTAGTTTCACCAATGATGCTCTTATGTCATTTTGGGAGCATCCTTCACTTTGAGCCATATTGGGACTGTCGTCTGGAAAGATATGTTCTAAAGGATAGTTTCTGTTGGCATGAAGCTTACGAGCGCCACTGCTAACTCCCTTCAGTATCACAGTTTTGTGTAGCCCACCAAGCAAGCCTTCATAATCCGTGTCACCACTTTCTCCCACGAAGACAACAGCAGTTGACAAGTTCAAGCCCCAACGGACATACAGGTACCTGGAGACTAAATGTCAGTCATACGAAGAAGACGAAGACACTATAGATGCTATTTAATCCTTAAAAAGACTTGGCAGTGTACAATACAAAAGAAAAATAGGATCTCACGGGTTCTCAGGGATGCATTTATACCTGAGAGCTTGTGATCTAGAAGCCAACACAGGGATAACATTTAGCCTGGTGCCATTTTGGGAATATATAACGTGGCAACGGAGAGCCTGAATTCTCATGAGTCTCCGGAGTTCCTTAACAGGGGGAATCTGTCATGACATAAAAACGCCAAAAATAAAGCAGTTCTTCTGAAGCAGTGACCTCCAAAAGTATTAATGTAGTCATATGCAATTTGCAACACCAAATACCAAAAAAGTATAAAAATGAATTTCATTACAGAGACACACACAAGAGATATTACCAGTGCTGGATCTTTCACTTTATACGCATAGCAATGGTTAGTTGACGCTGATACATCTTCTGTAACAGTTTCGCTTCCTTTCTTTTCGTTGAAATTAGCGACCCAACGAACCAACGTCTTTCTCAAACCTTCTGCTCCCCAGCGGTATTCAATGTGTGAACGGTAATCTAAGTCCACAACAAAGGGAAGCCCAGAAGGACTATCCTCAGAACTTGAAGATGGATAGTAGAGCTCACCACCGCTGTTACAGATAAAAGCATCAAACTGTGAAGGACTCAAACCTCCTGAGACCAAAAGAGTATGTATCTCAGATATGCCCAATGCTGTTGATAGTATAAATCCGATAGGTCCTGCATCTTTGTCCTTCTCTGTTGCCTCAGTAACCTTCTCAATGATTTCAGTAAACTCTGAGGTTGTATCACAATCCACAGCAATTACATAAACATACTTCCTTTTCCTGAATGCTGGAAATTTACCAGCCCCAGAACTGTTGTCTGCTTTCTCTGTGGAACCAGCCTTTTCACAAACACCTTTTGACAATGTCAAAACCGCATTTTGCTCCTTAATCTTCCCTCCAGCAGCATGGTCTTCAGTCTCTAAAGCATTATCAAGAGCAGCACTCCCTTCAGTTTTGTCGCCATCCAGTGAGAGTTTCAAGTTCAAAGATATATCTTGTATATCCCTCAAAGAATCACTAGGTGAATCGGGTTGTGAATTGTCAAAGTCAGCTTCATTTCTTTGCCACTGTGGCTGCCTTGGTTTGCAACTGGTTATGCGAGTTAAGTATGTCTTACAATGCTCTGGCCATGAGAAAAGGTGAATGTTTTTCAGTCCATTCTGCCTGCATCTTGCCCAAAGTTGCTTGTCCGAAACAAGCTTCAGAAGGGCATCCGCTATTGACTGCTGATCATGGGGGTCAACTAGTAGACCATTGTCAAGAACCTGTCACAATTCAGTTGTCCAAACTCGGTATTTAGTATTGATAAAAGTATCGATAACTTAACTCAACACAGCTCCAAAAGAAAATTAGAAAATCTTTCAATGGAATAGGAATGTTTTCCAGGTAGACATACCCGATGAATATCAACAGGACCCCCATTTTGTGTGGCAACAATAGGTAAGCCATGAGCTGCTGCCTATTCAACAAAGAATCTTCTGTTGGGTTTTATAAATTAACATCTGAAATGTATTCCTTTGATAATGTAGAGACATGTACCTCAATTAAAGTAAGTCCAAATGGCTCGATGAAAGCTGGATTGATGAAAACACCCTGCCAAGAAATCAACAACATTACTGTATATCATGTAAAATTATTGAAACCGCAAAGTCCTTATCCTGTGACATTTATGCCATACAACAAAAACTCATTATAATTTATAAGTTTATAACCAAGATTTTCAGTATGCAATGCATTCCCCCTCCCTCTTATGCACTCAGTATAATTTATTAGTTTATAACTCAAAGAAGTGATCTCTAGAAGCATGCCTAGCCAAATTTTGTACAACTGTGATCCTGACTATGCATAAATATCCAGAAGCTCAGGGAAAATTATATACCTACAAGTAAACTGCATGCACCTTTTAGGTGGTTAATCTAGTTGTAACACTGCTAATAAAAGATAAAAGTACCTTTGTCTTTGCTGCCAGACGGTAAATGTCAGGAACATCAGACTGCTTGTGGTGTTTCGGATATGCCACATGACCGTAAAGATCGTATCTGTCAATCAGCTTAAGAATGGAAAGAAGCACAGATGCATTTGTGCTGGACATTTCATCAATGTCATCACGGTTTCCCATTATCAATGTCTGTAATGACAGAATATATAAGTATCTGAATAATACATATATAAAGCACAATTTTTTATTTACAAAACGTGAACAAAGGAAGCCTCATATACTTGTTGTCAGCAGACTTATGAAATAACCGGTAAGAAGGTGCAGTTAAGGAATTTGAACATACAAGGTTAGCAAGTTCCCTCAGTGGGCGACACTCTCCAAATGCTTTGACTAAGGTCGTAATATTCTTTTTAGGGTCTGCCCTGGCAAGGGCAAGTATCATAGGCTTCCGCGGATTGGTAAAGAAACGCATGATCTGCCGATACAAAATCATTAGTTTTAACATTATAACCAAATATATACTGCAAGAAAAACAAGTATCTCAATCGATTATTTGTTATGAACAACCATACAGAAAAGGAGCATCATAAATCTATAATTTTTAAAATCCAAGCAAGGAGGATATGAGAAGAAAGAAAAGTTATAACCTCCGACCAAATTGGAGGGTCAGGAGAAGTAGAACTATCATCATGTCTTTCCCCTTCACCATCCCCGTCGCCATCATGTGGAATGATATGATGAAACTCCATTCCTGGAGGTATTACCTAACAAAAAAACAGGGGGGAACTGATAGTTAGTAAGAATAACATTTCTATCACTTAATATTTGTCCTTTTAGAGGAAAAAAGGCCAAAAGTTTGATAAAAATACTATGAAGAGAAAAATATGAGATACTTACAACCATGCGAGGCATAAACCTGCCGTAACAGCTTACACCCCTTTTGATTCTTGCTCTTAGTTTGCGTTCTAGTATTGGATCAAAGCCATCATACAAGCGCCATTGTGATTCTATCTCCTGTCTAGTGCTTGTGATAACAATCTCAGAGGCATCTAGGGTTAACTCCTCTGCTTCTATCCGTCTCATTATTTTGTACGTTGTATTTATTTCTTCTCTTGATTGACGTCCTTGTTTCAAAAGTTGTTCAAGCTTATCTCGTCCAAGTGAGTGACCAGTAAATACCATTGGGACATTCAAGGCACCAGATAAAAGAGCAGCAGAATCACCTGCATCTGCATAATGTCCATGAATTGCAACGGGCCAAACTGGTTGCCCACCTCCAATTTGCTCTCCCAGAGCTTTAGACATCTGTAGAATGTGGGTAAGTGCACCATCAACAAACTCAGGTATGTGAGGCCAAAGGAGTTCTTTTGGAACATATTTATCCCTTGGGCCAAATGGTATCCGGACTATATAAGCTCCACTACTCTCCCCAAGCTCCTCCTTTGAATTCTCAGTGTTTAATGGATTCAGCATTTCAGTTGGTTCCCCATAACTCCAATCCACATCTGGAGCTGCCACTTGTCTTGTTAGCAAATCAACCCGATAAACTCCAGGCATTGAACCTAAGGCCCTGGCAAGTTCTACTACATACTTGACCTGATAATGATGAAAACCTTTATACTCCAAAGCAAGTAATAAGGAAGCTTTTTAATTCCAGTTTATAAATGATTTCAATAGTCATCGACTGGATCCAAGTCAAGATCAATATTGTAAATAACAATTTATATTCCCAAAAGTTACCTGGCCACCAGTATCAGAATCACGACCAAGCTCCATGTTCTCGCCACGGATCAGGCCATGAAGGCTGCATGAAGAATTCTTGTTGATGAAATCAACGTTTAAAAGTTTAAATGCATAAAAAAGTTCTGCTCATGCCTTATTAACACCATGTAGAATTTCTGTTCTTTTTGTTGACTAGTCCAGTTCTCCACTGCATCAGTAGAATTGATTCTTTTCATTCTTCCTCCTCTAGTGCTATCACCACCATGAGCTGAAATGTCACCGACCGTGTCTCCTTTCTCTCCCTCAGACAAGTCTTCTGACATATCCTCAGTCGCTTCTCTCCTGCCTCGTTCCCTTTCAAGACGATGTCTGGCCATACGCTGAGCTTCTTCTCCCTCAATCTGATCAATTACAATTAGCAAAGAAAACACGAACATTTTAAAGCCAAAAACTTAAACCACCTCCCTCCTCAAAGTAAATAATAAAATAAAATCACTTCCTGTTAGTAATCACTTATTCTTTTTCACAAACACAAGTCTTCCCTTCAATAAATGGAACAATAATTAGCAACAGGAAATGACTTCCACTCCTATTTTCTTTTCTAACATGAATCAAAGGAGGCAAACCGGTCGATTGCCCTAGTGGTTAGGGCCTTCATCCTCAAACTCGTGTCTTGGTTTCAAACCCTCCCCACTCCCCTTGTGTAATTAAAAGTAATATCGCTTGTATTAAAAAAATAAATGAATCAAGGGAGAATTAAGAAACAAAAACAAAGGGATGAGGGTCGAAATCTTCTCGTTCCAATAAGGCAAAATCCTAACTGTGAACAAAATTCATTCAATGTAATCAGCAAAATCCGATTTTCGTCCTACTTTTAATATTTTTAACCATTTTTATTTTCATTTGCTCAGTTACGAATGAAAAAACAAACAAACAAACACACAATTGAAGCATTTAGCAGCTGAATACAATGAAATCAACAACAGAAAAAGTCAAATTATTTTCAAAGAAAAAAAATTATATAAAAGAACCTGCTTCTTTTTGCGAGCCAAATTCCAAATCCGCCAGCACATATTCTCCAACCTGGTATTCCTCTCCTCCGGACTCCTCGCCGTCGCCGCAGCCTGAAATCAAAACCACCGAATTAGCAAAAATTAATCAATAAAATTACGGAAAATCGAGACTTTCAAAAAATCCGAATCGAATCAACAATCGAAATGGCGTTGTGAATAGAAATCGTACCCGAACCCAGGAGCGGTGGAGATCGGTCTCATCGTAGCGAGTGATCACCTCTTCGACGAAGTAACGAGTCGGACTGAAACGGCCGCGTTCACGGAGGAGAAGCGACGATTTGGCGTCGTCAAGGCCCGGACCGACGTCAAGGATCGCCTCCAAGTAACTGTTCACCCAGTCGTTTCCCGCCATTGCAACGGTCTTGATCGGCTACACAGAGCCTGAAACAGAGTGCTCTGCTCACAGCTTTATATATACAGATATGGAGATTATAGAGCGAGAGAGAGAGAGAGAGTGTGTGTGTGTGTGTGAGAGAGACGGTTATGGTGATTTGCAGACAATGACGGAGCAGAGAGAATTTTAGAGAGAGAACGGAGAATTTTTACGCGAGTACGCGATTTCTCTGGACGGAAAGAGAAAAGGTTTTTATTTATAACTTCTTTTTGAAATTTGGTACCTGACTTTTCTCCAGCAGGACACTTCATGAATTTACTAGGCTATCCCTCTATATATATATATTAAATCTCATAATTTTATAAAATATTATGTTAAAAATATAAAGCGACATAAAGTCCATAAAATATCGATTTTTGAGAAATCTTTCTTAACATTTCTCTTGAAAATTTGTAAGTGAATTTACTTATGTGACCTCATCTCGTATTAGAGCTTGTTTGATATACACTCATCACTATACTACAAATTAAACAATTAACCTGACACCTGTCATAGCTACATATGTGACACATCCTAATTCAAGATGTTCACCTGATTTCGAATCGATTAGAGTTAAACTAAATTGAATTTGTGTGAAGAGGTTAACGTAGAGCTATAACACGTGTCCAATTATTATTAATAGAACTTGTAACTTTAATTAGTGAATAAATTAATCGATTGGTGTTTTTTAGGTACTTGTACCTATAATTAGTTCACTTCACACCTTGCTTTGTACTAAGACGACCTTGTTTAGAAGCGTTTTTTTCTAATACAAGAATATAATTTGGTTTGAATTTGTTTTTAATGAGAATTAAATATAAGATTTATTATTAAAAAATAAAGATAAATATTATTAAAGTATAGTACTTACTAATTAATATTTCTTAAATATTAAGAGTATATAATTCTGGAATTCACTTCGACATCAGGACGGTGCATATATAAATATGTAAACAAGAAAACAGGAATAAATTCTATGACTAAATTAAGATCAGTCGCAAGATGGTCAGGAAGATTTGATACGAGTTCCTTTGAAAAGGAAAACAAAAAAGTAGGGTGCTGCCTGTTGTGTAACGTACGTGCATGCATGCATGTTACGCCAAGTGTCCTGATTAATATTACACGTTTAGGACGAATAACAAAAAGGAGATTGACGTTCCAAAAGTTTCAACAAAAAGATTATTCGTCCTTGGCCGGTAGCCTGTGCTGGCAATTAAAATGACTTTTTCACATCGTTCTTGATAGCATGGCGCTGCACTTCATTTAGGAGTAAATAATATGGTTCAAATTCATTTTTGTTAAAAATTAGATTTAAGATATCTCATTTAGAAGTGAATAATACCATTTGACTTTAAAATTTAGATTATTTCCCACGTGTAAGTGGGAGGTTCTTATTTAGGAACTTATAAGAGATTTTTCAGGCACACTGAAAAATCTCTCATTGTTTAGACTCATGCAGTTGAAGAGTTTGATAGGAATTTATTAAGATTATTTCCCACGTGTAAGTGGGAGGTCCTTAGTTAAGAACTTATGAGAGATTTTTCGGTGTACCCAATACATGAGACGGAACACCACATGTTATCATACAGTATAATGATATGTTGTGTTTCGTCTCATGTTTCGGGTACACTGAAAAATGTCTCTTTGTTTAGACTCATGCAGTTGAAGAGTTTGATAGGAATTTATTAGTGCATACTTATTGTGTGACTTAACCAAAATCTTTATTTAAGTAGTACGAATATATAGTTGTTTTTCAATACTAAAAAGAATTTGAATTGAGAATTTGGGAAATGAATTTATCTGTTTTTTTGCTCCGAAATTTAGAAAATGAATTGACACCTTAATTGATGTTAATGCAAAAGATGCGGTTATTAGACGAGTGTTCATTTTTTGGGGCCAAAAAAAAAAATAGAAGTGGAAAAAAAAATTGAAAACACCATATCACTCCCTTCTTTCCAGATCAAACTAATCACTCAATTATTAAAATTCTGATCATTCAACTTCCAATCCAATCCAATCATGTTGGACCAAATTAATCACTCCGTTCTTAGAAGGCCCTTCTCTGAATCCGAAGAAGCTCCATCGTCATAATCTCTGAAATAGAAAGGAAAATCATGGAGTTCTTCTTTGGATTGATAATCGGCATTGCCATCGGCATTGGGTTGATCGTGGCTTTCGCTCGGGCAGAGAGAATTCGATCCAAATTTCGTTCTGATTTGGTAAACTAAATCACAATCAAATCGTTGTTATTATTGTTTTTGATAAAATGTCTTTGTTATTTATGCATGTTTGTTTGGTTTTAATTTTTGTTTATATGTTAATTTTTTTGTTAATGTGGATTATTATTTTATTAGGCCAAGACAGTGGCTGCGTTTGCAAGGATGACAGTGCAAGATTCCAGAAAGCTTCTTCCACCTCAGTATTATCCATCTTGGCTTGTCTTCACAAAGCGCCAGAAGTTGAGTTTATTTCGCAAACCCTAACTTCTGTGTTTCTCTTCATGTTTGCCTTTTGGGTTTGCATGTCCTGACTCATGAACCACATGTCTCATATTTCCAAAATTTAAAATAGGTTAATCCTTCGGTAATAATTCTAAGTTGGTTTTTGTAAGGTAAGTTTCTTTCGAGCATATTAGTTTCAATGTGCAAGCTTAATTGGTTCATTTACTCATCCAGTCTAGGTTGGGTGTTCAGTTCTCCTCTTTCGGTATCGCTTGTATGAAAGAAATTGCTATATATTCAGTGGTATGGTATGTCCTTCAATACGAATGGGTGGTAGGTGGGTGAAAGACAGGGTTGGGCACGAAAAGACATAGGTGCATTTTTACTCTATGTCCTACAAATTAACGAGAAACAAGACTTCGAAGCAGATGTAGATTAGATCAGTTAGCTAGGGTTCTGTGCATGTTCTCTTGCATCAAAGTTGAATCCACCTCTTTTTAAGTTATAAATTAGAGCAATCGAGAATATATATCGCAATTTCACGAAGAAAAAAAAAAGATTTTGAACAAGGACCTCTTGTAACCTAAGTTCTAATATCATATTAAATGATCATTAGAACTCAAACTATCATGAGATTTTAATATGCTAACAAGAATATCCTTGTGAATTACAGTTGAATTGGCTTAACCACCATCTTGAGAAGATTTGGCCATACGTTGATGAAGTAATTTTTCTTTTCTGCTCTTTTTTACGCACACTTTTTGTTTCACCTCTTTAATAGTCAAAATCTTCCTTCGTTTGGGTGCACTTTGATGGAGTAGGCAGCATCAGAGCTGATAAGGAGCAATGTAGAACCGATACTCGAACAATACAGGCCAATGGTCTTGTCTTCACTCAAATTCTCTAAACTCACCCTTGGCACAGTGGCTCCACAATTCACAGGTAGGGTTCATGCTTACAAGATGGTCTTATTCGCCGACTAGATTTTGCTGTTGATGCTTATACATGTAGTTGGTACCCTTTAGGAGTTTCAATCGTTGAAGGTGAAAGTGAGGCGGGAGGAATCACTATGGAGTTGGAGGTTCAGTGGGATGGTAATCCAAACATTGTGCTTGATATTAAAACCAGGGTTGGTCTTGCACTACCTGTACAGGTAATGCTCATCAAATTTATAGCTCAAGAAGTAATTAAGAGTATTCACCCTGTTCCTGATATCTCCCCTCCCTAATATTGCTTGTATAATAGAATATAGTAATGTTTCTTGTGTAGTTTTCTTTAGTGAAATCTAGGTTTGTTTGTTCGGTAAATGAAACATAGGGTTTCATGACATGTTTGAGAAGTTGAAGGTTTCATGACATGTCTTAGAAGTTGAAGTATGCCTTATCATCTTTTTTTTTTTCGAACTGTTCATATAGGTGAAAAATATTGGATTCACTGGGGTTTTCAGGTTAATCTTCAAACCCCTAGTCGGCGACTTCCCTTGTTTTGGAGCTGTTTGTTATTCCTTAAGAGAAAAGGTGTGTGATAAGTTACTGCTATTGCTTTGTAAAATTTCTTGAGGCGGCATACTTTTACTTTTAGGAACCGAAGTTTCTGTACTATAGTTTGATGTCATGCATATTTAGAACTGAAAAGCATATACTGACAATTTATAAGTTTTATTATAACATTATGTTCATGTATTATCGTTTGATATCATATTTCTTGTGCCTATGCCTGCAGAAAAAGCTGGATTTTGTGTTTAAAATTTCTGGTGGTGATATATCATCTATTCCCGGCGTTTCTGATGCTATTGAGGTTTGAGCAAGTTTTTTCCTTTGTGTATCCTAGTTTCTCTTACTATCAGAACCTTAATGGCCCCCGTGATTTCTACATTCTGCATGAAAAATTGTGGCATGCTGACGTTGCTATGTAATGAAATTGTCATTTTATTTCAGGAAACGATACGAGATGCTATTGAAGATTGTATAACTTGGCCAGTACGTAATATTATACCGATAATACCCGGAGATTATAGGTATATTAATTCAAACTGTAGATTTTTTCTTGAACATATTTCTCATTCATAAAGTTTCAGATTCCATCTGCTAGTTTATATTCCTCGGCTAAAATTTTGTTTATGTGACAGTGCCTTGGAGTTGAAGCCAGTCGGAATGTTAGATGTGAAGCTTGTGGAAGCTAAGGAGTTGACAAACAAGGACCTTGTTGGAAAATCAGATCCTTTTGCTGTGATATTCATACGTCCACTTCGTGACAGAATGAAAACCAGCAAAGTCATTGTAAGCAGCTCATGTTTCTCTAAAGTATGTATGATTTTCCCTTATCTGAATATGTAAAAATATTTATCATATACTACAGGACAACGATTTGAATCCAATCTGGAATGAGCACTTTGAGTTCATTGTTGAAGATACATCGACTCAAAACTTGACAATAAGAGTCTTTGACGACGAAGGACTTCAGGCTGCAGAGCTCATTGGCTGTGCTCAAGTGCAACTGAGTCAGCTTGAGCCTGGTAAAGTGAAGGATCTGTGGTTAAAGTTGGTGAAGGATTTGGAGATCCAGAGAGATGCTAAATACAGGGGTCAGGTTAGAATTGGATTTACTTTCAAACGCATACAATAATGGAAAAAGATTGTTCAGTACTGAGTACTCATCCCCAACACATGTTACAATATTGTCAATACTTAGTTGATATTTGGTCAAAAATTTGGCAAATCGACAATGTAGCAGATATTGTGGATTAGTAACTGATATTGGCTATTAGCTAATGACTCCCCTATAAAAAAAAAATGTACATTTTAGGGGTGTTCAGCAATTCCAAACCACTGATAATTAGTGAATCTGCATACGAAAAATGAAGAGATTGGTTGGTACCGATAACCAATCTACAGTAATCATCTGATATTCGATATTTGGTCAAAGTTTGGTAATATCGACTATGTGAAAAGTATTTTAGATCGGTGTCTGGAACCAGCCAATTACTCGACTTAGTGGAAACCGGCATTCAGTTTAGAGTTTAGGGTTTAGGGTTAGTAGAGTTTATAAATCTAAAATGCACATATGTTCTTTGCCTTAGGTGCACTTGGAGCTGTTATACTGTCCTTTTGGTACAGACGGTAACATCGTAGGCCCGTTCGACCACGACTTTGCGTTGACCTCTTTGGAAAAGGCTCTTAAGATTGAACCCAGTGGAGCAGATAACTTAGAAAAAATGAGAAAAGCAGCTGCCCAGAAGAAGAAGGATGTGTTTGTGAGAGGAGTGCTATCCGTCACAGTGATATCTGCAGAAGACTTACCAGTTGTTGATTTTATGGGGAAGGCCGACCCTTTTGTTGTTCTTATTATGAAGAAATCTGAAGCCAAAGCCAAAACTAGGGTGAGATTTCAGTTCCCAAATTTATTTCACTTTGTATTATTTGGGTCGTGATTTTCACACTTCTTTTTATGTGAGTATAAAAAACTTAGAAAATATTCATTTAGAGGGCAGAGAGAAGTGCCGAAATCGCCACAGAGTCCGTCAATAACCTCTAATTCAAAATTGTTTCTTAATTTCAATTTATCATTGTCTTATGCTTTTTCAGGTTATAACTAACAATTTGAATCCAGTTTGGAATCAAACATTTGATTTCATGGTGGAGGATGCATTGCATGAAATGTTAATGGTTGAAGTTTGGGACCATGACACTTTTGGAAAGGTGATGTTTCTCCATACTAGTTTAATTGTGTTAACCTGTGTGATGCATAAGACATGATCGTAACATCGTCATGTAGTGCTACTCATCTATATATATATCATAGCATGGTTGACGCTGATTTCATACTTTAGAGCATAATATCAATAAATATACAAGTCTCATAAACACGAGCAGACTAGTAATAATAACACGATGCAGGGTAAAGCTCACATTGAAAAGAAAAAAAAAACTTCTATTTTTGCAGGATAGAATTGGAAGAGTCATCATGACACTAACCAGGGTGTTGATGGAAGGGGAATATCAAGACTGTTATCAGCTAGACATTGCTAAATCTGGAAGGATTTATTTGAACCTCAAGTGGGTTGCACAACATAAAGTCCGTGATACGTGATTTGTATCATCCTACATTGTTTTTTATTGAGTTGAAGTTGTGATATTTTTCACATGAATATTACACAAAAAAGTATAAGAAAAAGCAAATAAATTATTCATTATTTTAACATATAAATTAGATTTAAGTTATCTGTCAAACCTAAAAGAAAATCTTACAAATCACATGTAGTTCAGATTATTTACAATTTAATTTGTTAACATGTCGAATTGTTAATAACTTAATGGCTTTGTTCTTTCTATTGTAAATGCACAGAAAAATTAGTTAGCTATATAAATTGCATTCATTTTACTTGTAGCATATTTATCAATCATATTATATCCACCACATTTTTTATTAATAATGTTAGAATCATATTTCTGTCAATTATTTTGGCCAATTGTTTACTAAATTGAGGGTAATTTTGTTATTTTGGTTCTTAGGTAATAAATTTTTTAGTAAATTGTAGTTATGGTCCCTTAACTTTAACTCAATTGGAGCAATGGTCCCTCAACTAAAAATCCATTACCTTTGGTCCCTCAACTTATCAAAACGTGCAGCTATGGTCCCTCAACTAAAAATCCATTACCATTGGTCCCTGAACTTTAATTCAAGTGGAGAAATGATCCTTTAACTTTAATCCAATTGTAGCAATGGTCCTTACAATATAACTCGTTTTGACAAATTTTTTGACATAGTTGACGAAAAGAACCATAATTATACACTTTGATGAGTTGAGGGACCCTAATTATATAAATTGTCATTCCAACATAGCTTATTTTGACAAAATTTTGACAAAATTGATGAAAATGACTATAGCTACACATTTTGATAAGTTGAGGGACCAATGATAATGGATTTTTAGTTGAGGGACCATTGCTCCAATTTGATTAAAGTTGAGGGACCATTTGTACAATTTACTCTAAATTTTTTTCACTAAATAACCAAAATAATTGATAGTAGACAAATTATGAACGCATAGCAAACACATACCATTGACCCTTGGGTCAAGCACTTGGTTTTCTTGTAAGGCATAGTTGATGGGGAAAACCTCATGTGCAACATAGTGTGCATCTCTGTGTCTATTATTGTCATTCCATGTAAAAGAGAGAGACCCATGGAGCATATACAATTATACACCTATTGCACCAGAGTCTCTCTCTAGTTGCTGGCATGTGGTGACACACCCCGTTCCGAAGGAGGGCATGCTGGCAGTCACGTGAGAGTGACGTAACCATTTACACAGTTCGGAAGCTTTAAAAAATACAATTACTAAAATGAAACACCCGAGGGTGAGTCATACTTTTGTGAATTCTGTCAGAATACCGTTGGATTCCTCGTGGCCACCAAAGCTCTGCTATCTAGAACCTGGATGGGCGCAAAACAAAATTGAGTGGGTCAGTAAAACAAAGTTTTTTGAAAACATTTCATTTAAAACATTTCTAACCCCTCGCTGTAAAACCTTTATACTTTCCCAGAAAATAACATAATAGCATATACCTTCAAATATATCAAATCATCAATCTTTATCAAAACCAGAAAGTATGCCATGTCATAATGTCAAAAACAGAATATGGATGCATCAATATAACAGGTGAAATAAGGAATCAATCGGAGACCCTGCAGTTGGTCCTGTACGGTTAATTCAATAGCTCAATATCCAATCCAACCGGAGTCACCACGGTGACCTGTACGGCGCTACTCTGCACATAAGTCGGAACTACCTGAAGTAGTCTGTACGACAAGAATGGTGTAATAATACGCTCTAGTGCTTCTCTCATCAATCATCTGTGCACATAATCTAAGGTCACCTACTAGTCGGAATCACCTCTAGTGGTCTGTACGACTAGCATGTCGGAACCCTCTCATGGTCTGTACGACATGCACCTACTTGGATCCAAGGTGAGCGTGCGGTGTGGTGAATAATATAAGCACTAACACCAGGGGTGCAGGTTATGAGCTCTCAACACAATTCATATCATCAATGATTCACATAAATAACATAAAACTTACCTGATACTCATATGTGCGTCCACAACACCAATTCACATATATATATATGCGTCAATTATCAATTCATATATCTCATAATATGCATGCATGACATTTTAAAACGTACTTTCATTTAAACTCAATTTATAGGAAAAATATCAATAGTATATAGGTATAAACAGAAATACTGCCCACTCACCTGGAGTTCACCCAACAACTCCCTAGCACAACACATCAAGGCGTCATGATGATCGGCGCCTAGAACAATAATCAAATCCAACCTCAGAAATCATATCGATAGAATATATAACTTATATAAAACACATCACTACGTAGTTTGATCCGGAAGATCTGCAACTCAGATTTCAAATCCATAACTTCCAGAGGTCCACAATATACCTCTAGGACAACATCCTAAAATTTCATTACCATCCAACGGTCGGATCTCTGTCAATTTCCAGAACCAAGTGACGGCTAACATTCTATTTTATGAACTTACAACTCCAATTCCGAAAGATCCGTAAATCGGATTTCCAATCCGTAAGTTCCTATAATCCTCAAATATTACGTATTACAACATATCAAAGTTTGGTGATGATCCGACGGTTGGATCATCGATTCACCTTTTGGCCTAACCAACTTAGGTTCAATTACTCAATTTACGTCCATCAACTATCAAAACTGAACCTAGAACCTTAAACACATGCTAAGAATGACATTGGCGGGCCATTGGCCACGCGCCGCCGCGGGTGGCGGTCGGCCGTCCCGGCTCGCCGGAAAATCTAACTATTTCCAAAAATTCTCAAAAAATACAGAATTGAAGATCTCAATGAGTAGAGTAAACTTTATACCTGAGGCCAAGGCCAATTTGGCCTGGAAACACTTCAATTTCACCAAAATCCGTGCGGAACCCTAGAATTGGGTGAGTTCCAATTCGTCTTCAAATCAACTCCGTCGTCCCAACCAATGCTTGGCTTTGTTCTAGGTCCTAAGGGAATTCTAAAGGTGTTAGTAATTGAAAGAAAATATTTCAAGATTTGAAGAATTTGAACAAGAAAGTCGCGGCATCCACATGTGCGTTCTTCACCAATTCACCATCAAATTTCATGATTTTTAGGGTGAAACATGAAAAGGGAAGGCCTAGGTGTTGATTGGAAGTGGTACCTTGATCCAATTTGTGAGAATTCCCGTGAAAATCGTCCGAATTTGGGTGTGGGTGTCGCGGGTCGAAACGGGTCGCGGGTGAAGACCCATTTTTCTTCCTTCTCTCCTCCGCTTCTCGCCCTCTCTCATTTCCTCCTTTCTCTGTTCCGATTGGCCGGTCTCCTCTCTCTCTTCTCCCTATTCGCCAGCACTCTCTCCTTTCTCTCCCAGAGCTCCTGCTCTCTCTTCCTCTGGTTGGGCAGTTTTGCCCAATCTCTTATTCTTCTTCTTGTTCTTACACACACACACACACAAACCTTCTTTCTTCTCATCCCAGCCATCCATTTATTTCTTCATTAAATCTGGGCCGTCCACTTTCATAAAAGAAATTCCAAATTTTACTAAATTATAATTCCTAAAATGCCCAAATTTCAAACGTTAATAAATTCTTCGATATAACTCCAAATCACGTACCGTATGCGCCCACGCGTCCATAGCGACGATTACTACGAGGATATGTCAAGAAAATAAATCTTAGATGGCACGACATAATGATTAACCTCGAATAATGCAAGTGCCTCAAAGGGCATTTTTGTAAAATCCTTTATTAAAACTTTAAAACTCTTAAAATCAGGGACGGGCTGTCACAATCTACCCACCTTAAAAAATTTCGTCCTCGAAATTTACACAATCTTTACAATCCATCGATATCCATAAAACAACCTGGAACACATCCCTCTCATTCGATCTTTTGTCTCCCAAGTAGTTTCTTCTGCTGAATGATTCCTCCATAAAACTTTTACCAAGTACACTGTTTTATTTCTCAGGACTTCCTCTTTCTATTCCAAAATAATCATGGGTTCATCATTATAAGTCAAATCTGGATTAATCTCTAAGGGCTGAACCGGAATCATACACAACGAATCTGCTACTTTGTAATGGAGCATCAAAACATGAACTACACTATACACATTATCCAATCCCGAAGGTACTCAAACTTGAAAGTATTTCACCGATTCCTTCAATAGTCAAAGACGGCCTGATGTACTTAGGATTTAACTTGTCTTCCATTTCGTTTCACCGATTCCTTCAATAGTCACCGATTCATTCAATAGTCAAAGGTGATAATTTCAAAAGCATCCAATCTCCTGCATTATACGTCCGGTCAGTGGCATGTTTGTCTGCTAAGCTCTTCAGTCGATCCTGGCTCACTTCCAGGTTAGACTTAATTACCTGAATATTCCGAGTAGTCTCATCCACTAACTCAGGGCCTTGAATACCATCCGTCCACAATTCTAACAATTTCGAAACACAAGACACATCTTTCCACGGCCTTATGGCGTTGCTCTAGGGAACAAACTGAAAGGACCAACATACCTAAGAAGTTCAACAGATCCGTAAGCCCAAATCTCTTTTCCATAAGACAGATAAATAATTGTTGCACTTCTGGAAAGGTTACTGCTCTTTCATTGAAGAATACTGCGCTGATTTAGTAAGCCAATCAATTATCACCTCAATTTCATCATAACCATCTCGTGAACGAGGAAACTTGCACACATAATCTATATTAATATTTTCTCATTTCCGCTGCGGAACGGGAAGTAACTACATCAATCCAAAAGACTTCTTTCTTTCCGTTTTAACCTGCTGACAGATGTTACATCTATTTATATATACAAACATTTCTCTTTTCATACCTGACCAATAGTAAAATGATCGAATGGTATAATACATCTTAGTACCTCCAGGATGCATTGTATAAGTTGAACAGTACACAAATTCCAAAATTGCTTCCTTTAATTCCATAACATTAGGTATAAACACCTTGTTCTCTTGCATAAGCTTGCCATCTGATTCTCTAACTCTGAGGTCTTTCTTTTTCCCATTATTCCTTGCTTTAAATAAATTCTTGAATTTCTTCGTCAAACGCTTGAGTCTCGAGTACGACCTACCAAATAGGCCTAACTTGAAAATTAGCAAGTACGTTTTCTTTTCGATCTTCCATTCCCAACTTTACTCCAGTAGATCTCAAATCCACAAGAAGATGAACATGGCA